TTGTGATGTTACTCGGAGTGTGCATATCCACACCAGGCAAGCTTGAAAAAATGCCTCGCCACGGTGGGAATCGAACCTACAACCTTTGGAATACTAGCCCAATGTTTTGCCAACTGAGCTACGCGGTCAGGTCGGTTCGAGTATGTGATATTTCGGAACTGAGTCCAGTTCCTTCAACATCAATGTAATCTAATAATCATGATTTTTTTGCAGAGTATTGGGCTAGTATTGGAAAGGTCGTAGGTTCGATTCCCACTGTAGCCAGGCATATTTTTCAAGCTTGCCCAGTGTGGATACACACTCAGAGTAACATCACAAATACCGGTATCATATTCACCTGAGTACACAACAGCAACACACAAAAAAATCATGATTATTAGATTACATTGATGCCGAAGGAAAAGAGTCAGTTCCGAAATATCACATATTCGAACCAATCTGACCGCGTAGCTCAGTTGGCAGAGCATTGGGCTAGTATTCCAAAGGTCGTAGGTTCGATTCCCATCCTTGCTAGGCATATTTTTCAAGCTTGCCCAGTGTGAATACACACTCAGAGTAACATCATAAATATCAACCCCTATAAATTTTAATGTAAAATCTAAGTTTGATACCGGCAATTAAACACTATGAACTATCGAGTTTATACTTGAATCAGCATATATCAATGGTCGACACGAAATCAGACTTGATTTAAACAGGAATACTGCACACTACTTGGTGTCGTTTTACATATTTTGAATACATGTGCATATACAGTATTAAATATAGGCCTACAGCCGAGGGGCATTTCACTCCAAAAAAGCGTACGGGATTTTCGGATCTTTAAAAATCCGCGGATTTTTCAGCGGATTTAGCGGACTTTTCCCGGATTTTTTAGCGGATTTTTGAAGAGAAAATTTGCTGGATTTTCCGGATTTGTTCGGATTCTCCGGACTTGTTCGGGTTTCTTCTGGATTTTTGAAAATCTGTTGGATTTTCCGGATTTGTTTGAATTTTCCGGATTTGTTCGGATTTTTTCTGGATTTTTTTTAATTATAGAGTTATAGAGCTAGGTAACGTTTTGAACAAATAATCTTAAGTTGTACGATTATTATTATTATTATTATTATTAATGGTTTAAGATACACACCTTCGCAATAGATTGAATTATGGTGCGTTTACAAAATTGGTACGCTATATATTTACATATATAAAAAATTTAGTTGCATGCATCAAGTCTAAAAATCTTATTGAATTGCATTAAAATCATCGTAATTAAGTATCACGCTTAAGTTTTTTTACTATAACTATCAGTATATAGAGCTACTACTGTACTGGGAAAAAACTACGGCGATATCTTTCTGTTCGGCATTTTATTGTTGTTAATGTGTTAGAGTTTCTAAGTTCATAATCATTTGAACTAGCCCTAGACAATGGAACATATTTTGACAGTGATCCTTCAATTTTTATGCGTTTCAAAGTATTGAGGCAATGTTGTTCTCGTCTTTCATCCAATATGGAACACCCAAGTTGTACGTGCTAATGCTTCCCTATAAGAGTAACCCGGTAAAATGATCCTCAGCGCTCTTTTTTGCACTCGCTCTAAATCATCGGCGAGGTACAAAGGTAGGGCATGATGCCATACCACACAACAGTACTCCAGAACCGATCGTATTAAGTCAAAGTATATACTCAATAAGTCTTCCGCGGGGACACCACCTCGTCGTAATATGCGGATGATATATAAACGTTTAGAAGCCTTGGATACAACTGATTCTATGAGTGCATTCCATTTAAGATCGTTTCAGATAACCAGACCTAGGACTTTATGAGACCGCACAACCTCAAGCGCATGACCGTCGATCAACAATGGTGATAGATCAGGTGATTCCCGCAGAAAGCAAACGCGTAGTTCTTTGCACTTTTTGGGATTACGTTTCATAAGGTTGCACGAAGCCCAAGAATTTATAGTATCTATACAGAACTGAAACTTTGAATTGCTGCCCTTTGAGATATTTTCACATGTTGATATGTCATCCACAAATTTCCAAATATCCGTTGCGTGTGGTTTCAACGTTATGCCAGGACGTCAGGGTCGAGCAGAAGACTGGGACTAGGACCACAGCCTTCAGAAACTAACGAAGGCTTGTCATGCAGTCATTTTGTTTAAAATTCAAACAAGTTCATTATTCTTTCAAAAACACTAAAAGACAATGGTGAGTAACTTTTGGTTTTGTAATTATATTTTACAACATAACGTCATTGTAACAAGAACACATATTTGGTAGTAATAGGCTAAAAAAAACTTAGCGTATACTCGAGCGTATAAATGGAAATGTAGAGTGGTCCAATAATTACGAAATATAATGACAGCGTGAGCGATCACGGTATGCGTTTAGCTTACGTACGCTGTCAGCCATTTTGAACGTGGCAAAGAACCTTTACGAGTAAATTACACCAAGTACTTCATATATTTTTTGTGCATTTGCGGATTTTTTAAGGATTTTGAAGGATTTCTGCGGATTTTTGAAGGATTTCTGTGGTTTTTAAAGGATTTTTTTATTTTGATGGATTCAACGGATTTTGAGGATTTCATGGATTTTTTCTGGATTTTTTGACGAAGTTTACGGGAATTTTGGTGTGAATTGCCCCTCGCCTACAGCATGCTCGAATATCGTCTTGAATATATGCACGTTCAAACCGCATGTTGTTTGTATAATTGAGATTTTAGCATTAACTGACAATAATCGGTATTTATTACCCGGCCACTTTTCACTGATTTTTGTGTTTCGTTGAGAAAATATGTACGAGCAATGAGAATTGCCGATTCGAGACTTAAGATGTATAACCAACGACGAGAAATCGACTGGTTGTTGCAAAACACTAGGCTTTCTAGTACACAAAATATGAACAAAAAACATTACCTTGCCGTATCTGACCACATTCAATGCCTTCAGAAGTAATTTGACCAAGTAAAGATGCGTTTAGGTGTCCAAAATTAACATTTTCAACGACCATAATTTACACTATAAGCTCTTTGTTGCAAAGTCAAACCGCCGAAGGATCAAAGTTACCCAGAGTCCTCTTATTCCGTGCTACGTCATGTAATGTACACTATAGTGGATCGATACTATATTTTATATAACAATAAAAGAGAGACTTGGAGCAAGTTTAGAGTCCTCTAACCTCTGGCTTATCCGCTCGCGAGATAACTGCGCGTGCAGTCTCGCGTGCATTGTCTGGTTGTTTTGTCGAACGTCAAACGGTGAATCCTTTGGGATTTTGGCAATTATTATGGTTTTACTTTTTATGAAAATGATGAGATCCATGTGATTGCGATTCATACTACAATATGGCGTCTGAATAACAACAGAGACACCTATTGCATGTGTGTATAAAAAATTATATAGAAACTATAACGATTAAAAATCGTAATATGCATGTGCATGCATGCATGGTGCAATTTGTACTTAATTTAATTCAAGAATATTGCAAAAACAACTTCCTTATTTTGAGAAACATGATTTTACATTGAGGAAATTAATCATTCCATCAATCAAGAAACGGTTAATTAATGTATATATTTTCAAGAGAAAACGTCTTACGAGTTATGTTGAAAAACGAGGTTCGTTTTAATAAAGCATGCATGCAGTTAGAGGAAATAACTTATCATTTTAAGAAAACAGTTATATGTGGAATTAACTATATTATACGAAGTATTTTTCTTCAGAAATAATTTTCTTATTTTGAGAAAACCGGGTTATCTTAGTAAATCAAGAAATATATTTTTAAGAAATAATTTTCTCATTTTAAGAGAACAGTTATCTTAAATCAAGAAGTAATTTTTCTTGAGAAATAATTTTGTCAGTTTAGGAAAACAGTTTTCTTAAATTAAGAATAATTTTTTTCTTAAGAAATGATTTTCTCATTTTAAGAAAACATTTTCTTAAATTAAGAAAATAAATTTTCTTATGAAATAAGTTTCTCATTTTAAGAAAATATTTTCTTAAATTAAGAAAATAATTTTTCTTAAGAAATTGATTTTTTGCTGTGGAAGCCAGATCTGTGCGATACGGGTAAAGAAATGGACGTACCAGGAGGTAATAATATGACATGATATTTATCTTATTTGACTACAAATGTTTTGTTATTTTCAAAAATAGTGAGGCAAATTTTGTAACAGCGATTGAACTGGCTTATATTTACAAAAAATGGCGCGCCCCTATATACTATTGACTATACTATAGTAGCGTTTCTGCCATTTTGTTTTTTAAAGTTCGCACATGCTCAGTGCAAATGTCTTGATTTCTGGCCATGTTTACTCTGTCTGACGCCATATTATTTTACTCTGTCTAACGCCAGTCGCCAGACGATTTTACTCGTCAGGGGGAGAGTGCTCCACTCAATGGGTTAAATCGTTTGTGAATTCGAACAAAACTATCCCATTATTTGAAGAATATACATATACTAGTTTCTACTATTTTTGCACAAGTGAATATAAGAAATCCGATGTGGACGTGATATTCCTTTATACTGATGCACCCACATGTACAGGTGAATATAAAAAAGAAATTAAAATAAATTCAGTTCAAACAAATACAAAGGACTTGTGCAAAATACACAGTAAAAACAAATTGGTTAAAATGACCAAAAAAAATTGGTCGTTTGAATGCGTCTGAGACAACCAGTTTAAATTGGTCGTTTTAACCAAAAAAGTAATTGGTCAAATTGACCAATTATTTAATTGGTCAAATTGACCAATTATTTATTGGTCAAAACAACCGGGAAATAATTGGTTGTTTTGACCAATAAATAAATGGTCAATTTGACCAATTAATTATTTGGTTAAAAAGACCAATTTAAACTGGTTGTCTCAGACGCATTCAAACGACCAATTTTTTTTGGTCATTTTAACCAATTTCAAATGACCAAATTAAAATTGGTAAAACATTTAAATTGGTTAAAATGATCAAAATTGCCTTCCATTTCGCCATTAAACCATTCAAAACGTGCTTGAAAAACAATAATTTATTAACAAATAAATATTAAGATTAAAATACAAAATCAATATACAGTATATGCAATATAATAACTTATAGGGATGAAACGTCACACGAAACCTCTCTGACTGTAAATATTTCTACAATATTTACTCGTCGAAGGCTATCAAGTCATATAGCCAAAACTTGTGAAAATAAATATTTACACGCATGCATGCAGTCAGAGAACCATTTCATATTTCACAGCGGACTCCGTTTGACCGTAAATTCTAGAGCCAAAGGGGCGGGATTACAGTTGGATTTAGAGAAATGTGACGGATAAACAAGAAAGGCCGTCGTTTTCAAAACGGAAAGCCCATTTCTGCAAACAGAGATGTAATATTGTAGACAAAATCAAATTTTAGATTTTGTTGATGTAGCGATGAACTATATTTGTAATGTGCAAGTCAGGAGAAGCAATTGCGAAGGCCTTTATCGTGATATTTTTCTCCTTCTCTAACAATCCTTTTATTTGAAAGTTGAAGTAAGACGACGAGAAATCAACTTCCGTGTCGTCAAC